AGACACACGTCTTAAATTTGAATAGAGCCAAACATAGGGGGCAGTCCTGTATTTAATCTACTAACTAAATACATGAGGAAATAAACAACCAACAATCAGTCCATACATACGTTAATGTGAAACCCAAACATCTTAACTACGTACAAAATTGAAAATAATTTCTAGATCAACCATATCCATCATTCTCCCCCAGTTCTTATCAGTGCTGTGCTCATAAGAATCTCCATATGGTCCATATCATCTCAAAGGCACACGTGTTCACAACTAGATAGGTTGGCAACTACCACTTTCCTGTTCAAATATAAAATAATCATCCAACATGATGCCAAGTTATCCTGTAGGTTAGTTTCCCCGAGATGGCCTACAAGGAATCTTGAACTGCCAGACAAAATTGTTGGCATGCCTTCCAACTCCTTTCTGTTTACTCGTTCACACATAGTACTTCCTAATCCAAGATCATGCTCCGGATTTTAAATAAGCTATTCCAAAAAGGGGCTGAGCCATCCAGAACTATAACAGAATAATTTTTAAATTATGTTTGTTGCATGCTGAAAAGTAGAATCCACATCTAAACCCAATCTATTATCAATGACAAGCAAAATAGGTTTTTTTTTTTTTTTGAGCCAATCACAAGCGAAAGAGTTTACAAGCAGTTAATTCATTTCCTATATTGTAACATCCCAAACTCGATATAAGGCGCAATTACTACTCATATTATTTTCACACAATGAGTTCACAAAATATATATATGCATATCTCAAAATTTATTATATAACCTAACATCTCATATGATATATAAAATAGTTATATTTACAGAATATGAAATCAAAATTTAGAGTTCAACAAAACAAAATGAAAATTTTTTGAATATGCACAAAATATACCTGAACAGGAACCTTTTTACAGGTTCTATTCGTCTGGCGGCGGTTCTGACTCTTTTTTTTCATCTGAAAAATATCAGAGTAAAATTTAATAAATTTCACCAACTCAATAAGTATTTCCGTTATTTCAACCCAGGTAAAATTTCATACAAAACACACAACATGAGACAATGCAGTAGAAATGTTTTTAATGCAAAATTTATTCATTATTTTCACATGTTTCTGATCGGATTTCTTAATTTCATATATTAAGAACATATATATACTCGAATGTCAATCATAACCTCAAAATATAACACATACACACGAAAGATCATATATATACTTAAAATGTCATTTGTAAGCTTTGATCGCGCGATGTCGTTTATGTCATCATCGAGGAGAGGCGAATTGGATTCCTCCATCACATGGATAACACACACACACTCAAAATCTCATAATGGCCCATAGTAGTTACATTTGCTAAGTGACTTACACTCACAAACACATATTCACATCTGACTAGTTTCAACTCTATCCTATGTGAAGGTTCACTATGCTCACTAAGCTTCAGCGAC